AACTTTTGACTTTTGATGAATCTTGAGTATTCTTGATGAATCATGATCAACCTTTGATCAAATGATAAATGTGACTTCAAAATCTTGATGTTGACCAAAAATCTTGTGGTTTGACTGTATGTTGACCATAGTTGATTTTCACTTATTTGAGCAATTGACTGAGCAAATTTGTGATGTAAGGCTTGAAACTTGACATAAGGATTCTTTGAAGCATATGAGGAACCATTAAACTCACTTGAGGAATTAGAAGTCTCATTTTCCTTGAGAATATCAAAACCCTAGTTGTAGGCTATTGCTTAGGAAGAGGGTTCATCTGACCAATTCTTGAGTAGTCTTGAGCAATTGAGAACCCTAGGAGCACGGGGAGATCTTTTGAAATGGGAGGGCGAACTTTGCAGTATAACACACGTCATATTTTTTTTATAAAAAAATACCATATATTTATTCGGTTGAGCTGACAACTAAAGAGAAAAATTTGATCAACCCTTTGGAATACCAATAATTACGTTTTAGGGTCTTTTATTAATTAATTAATTAATTAATTTATGACCTATTTCTTCTAACCAACAACCGAAGAGAAAAGTGTTTAGGGGACACACTTTTAAATCTCAACAACTACATTTTAATGTTTTTTGTTTACGACTTATTCCCTTGGTTGTTAGCCCAACCACGTGGAAGAGTATTGATTAACTCCCTTATTTAAATACCAGCAACTCTATTTATTTTGGCCAAGTATCATGGTGGTTAGAATTCACCCTTTAAAGTTGGACAAGTGGAACATTGCGAGATCAAATATGTGCCCATACGTTTGATGTCCCTGCACAACTATCAACTGAGCTGGCTTAACAGGACACCAACAACTTTATTTTAGCACCTTTTATTTATTTATGACATAATCTCTCGATTGATCCGGAAAATAAGGAGAAAAGTCTTTAGGGGACACACCTTCAAATTCTAAACAACTATATTTTAGTGTTTTTTTTTTTGTTTATGACATATTCCCCCGGTTAAGTTGGAATCGAGGGGGATACGATTATCCTTTTTAATGAAAAAATTAAGTAACGAATCTTTGTCATTCATTTATAAAGTAATAATAGTTAAAATATTGTCAACTCATCAATCCACATGAAACTCTAGTAATTCGTGTGAAATTTATTTATTTGAAGAAAAATATTTATTAGACAATGACTTGTTTATCCCAAATGAAAGAAAAGATGTTATTACTTCAATAGTTTTTTAGACTGCTATAGCTGCTTTGTTCGTAGAATTATGATTAGTTATGGGGAAATTTCATTCTATTTTTTTTTTCTAACCATGAACTAGGCATTTTTTTCTTTTTAAATCAAACTGAAATCCTAATTTGATATCACTTGAAATTGAATATTTTTGTCATGTTGTTGGATTTATTGACTTATTTGTATCATCACGGTCATGAAGACAAATTATCATTTCCATTTCTCTCTCTCTCTCTCTCTATATATATATATATATATATATATATATATATATATATATATATATATATATATATATATATATATATATATATATATATATATATGTATATATATATAATTTTCCTTTTGCAAGTTTCTTACATGTTTATGTGGGATTTGTAATTTACAAAACCAAGTATTTTCTCACAGGTTATATTTCATTTTGTGTGGACAAGAATAAAGCTACCTTATAGGTGGACTTACAACTCTTGATCGAGATTATGGATTAATAAGTAACATTCATCATGACTTTGAAACTCATGTCATTCATCACTTATTTTCTCAAATCCCTCGTTATCACTTAATAGAAGTTATGAGTATCTCTTTACATAAAATTCTTATAGTATTGGTTATAAGTAAATGGGTGAATAGTATTATGTAAAAAAAAAATTATATTTTAAAAATACCAGGGAAGTTCCGAGTACTACCCCTAAGAAGTTCCAAAGTAGAACTGTTTTGATCAAGAAGGATATATAGAATATCGAAGAAGAGATAATGGAAATATAATTGAAAAAAATGGAACCAAAACTCAATAGAGTTTATGTTATCCCTCACAATTCAAGTTTATTAACGAAGTACGAAGAACACATCAAAATAGAGTTATGAAATTAAAGTATTTCAATCAAATACATTTTCAATTATATCAACATGGATTCTGATTGAATTTCGGTTGTTATCATAACAATATTGATGAAATCAAACAATACTTTAAATGTATGTATATATCACCAAGTAAGATATGTTTGAGGATATTTTCATATTCAATTCAAAAAAAATCTAGCTGTCAAAATGTTGTTTTTTCATATGGAACAAAAATATTCTATTTATTACAAAGATCATGAACAAATTGACAATGTGTTACTTAGTTACTGCATCAATGTTTAATTCTTGGCTTAAGATAAATAAAGTGTATGAAGAACCCAATTTGTTGACATATGATAAATTTGTGCCAAAACTTATTTATGTTAAACAAAAAAAAAAAAGTTGGAAACCAAGAAAAAAAGACAAATAATAGGTAAATTGTATAAAATATAGTAAATGTTTTATTTAAGTATATTGTGACGTTTAAATAATAAAGCTTTCAACAAAAACGGTTGTCTATTTTTTCATAACAATGGTTTAAAATCAATATATAATTATATAAGTTACAATAACAATATTTTTATTACCATTCTACTTTTGAGCATGCGAGACAACTTTGTTACATACTGATTATTTTTATATTTGTAACTCTCATGGAAATAGAAAAGAAGATGCATAAAAATAGAAGAAGCCTAAAGGGTTTTAAGTCAATGTCATATCTAAAAATATGTGTGCTTGATTTTCTTGACAATAGGATTATATATGATGAGAGGTAATATGATCTTTTCTTTTAACTCTTTCAAATGTTGCCCGCCTCACTTACAAATGTCGGTTTTATTAGTAAAAGATTACATTTTTAACTATATATATGTTTGTTAAGATGTATAATATACTATAAAATATTTAAAAATATCAAGAAGTTATATTTTGGTAGATGAACAAAGGATAATTTTCACAAAAATTATGTAAGTTGTTAGAGAACAAAGAGGTGGGGATTTTTTTATAAGATTATGGTGAGACTTGAAAAACATTCATGTAGAACACATTATCTATTTTATTGTATTCTGAACCAAAAAAAAGTTTTATTTATGGTTTCAATTCAAATTACAAATTTATTATTATTAGAAGGAAAAACATCTCATTTAAAATTTAAGGTTCTAGTATCAACTATTGAATCCGAAGAGAATGATATTTCAATATATTATTTTGGTCATAATGCTGATTATTTATAGATACAAAAGATATATGATTGTATAACTAATTCCTAATCTTAAGGGAGCTCTTATGCCTATTCGTAACATCAAGGCATGAATGATTCAAACTATAACAAATCATATGCACACTAATAGGAATGATTGGTTACACCTAAATTATAGGAGTAACTTATAATCAAGTCATATGCACACTAATAGGAATGGTTGGTTACACCTAAATTATAGGATTAACTTATAATTATCTGTTATTACGCCCCCTCAAAATTGGGTCACCATCAATGACACAAATTTTGTCTCTGAGAAATGAAAATCTGGTTCAATGCATATGCTTTGTTAGAATATCTGACGACTGGTCTTTTGTAGAAATATGAGAGACTCGTATTTTTCCAAGTCGAACCATCTTTCGCACAAAATGATAATCTAGAGCAATGTGTTTCATTCGAGAGTGAAATACTAGATTGGAGCATAAGTAGGTTGTGCCAATATTGTCACAAAAGAGAGTAGGTATGTGAGATGGTACTCCAAGTTCACTCAATAGATTAAGCAACCACATAATATCCGCTGTAGTATTGACAACAGATCGATATTCTGCTTTTGTGGATGATCTTGCAACTGTTTTATGCCTTTTTAATAGCCATGAGACAAGATTTCCACCAAAATAAATTATGTAAGCTGAAGTAGATATTTTTTCATCAAAATTACCTCCCCAATCAGTATCAGTGAAGGCTTGTAATTTGAGATGAAGTGGTTTTGCCAGCCTCAGAGCATGATTAATAGTATGTTTGAGATACCTTAATACTCTCTTGAGTTGCTGGAGGTGCACTTGAGTTGGTTGATGCATGAATTGTGACAATTTATTAATTGCAAAGGACATATCTGGCCTTGTCAAAGTGACATATTGCAATGCACCAACGATACTGCGAAATTGCTTTGAGTCGGCAGCGACAGATCTATCATGTAGTTTGGGAGGAGTAGTCATACATAATGGTGTGTTGACGGACTTTGCACCGACCATATTACACTTATCCAAGAGTTTTCTAATATAACCATGTTGAGATAATAACATACTCTCCTTGGTTGGAATCATTTCAATTCCAAGAAAATAATGAGGGAAACCAAGTTGTTTGAGAGAAAACTTATTGAAAAGTTTTATCATGAAATGATTTAAAAAGGTTGTATCACTGCCCATCAAAAGTAAGTCATCAACATATACTAATAAAAAAGCTTGTACACCATGTTTATTGTAATAAACAAGGAGGAATCACTTAGGCTTGTTTGAAACCCAACAAAAAGAACAAAAGCCTTGAGAGAATCATGCCATGCTCGAGGTGCTTGTCGTAAACCATAGATAGCCTTCTTGAGTTTGCATACATGTTGAGGAAATTCAGAATGAAGGAATCTAGGTGGTTGTTGCATGTATCTTCGGTCAATTTTCCCTGCAAAAAGGCATTATTAACATCCATTTGGCGTAAAGACCACCCTTGAGTAAGTGCTAAAGTGAGAACCACTTCAATGGTTTGAGGTTTCACAACCGGTGCAAATGTTTCCTTAAAATCAAGACCATGTGTTTGAGTGAATCCTTTTGCAACCAACTGTGCTTTATAACGTGCCAAACTTCCATCAAGATTTCTTTTGATGCGAAACAACCATTTACAGCCAACTAAATTAGTGTGAGATTTACGTGGAACCAAGGTCCAAGTACCATTGTTCATGAGTGCATTAAATTAGCAGAACAAACATCTCTCCAATGTGGTATTTTAAATGCTTGAGTAATGGTAGATGGCTCAAGATTTTCCTGTAACTCATGTTTAGTGGCAGTAAATAAATTCTTGGGTTTGAATATATTATTTTGGGACCTTGTTACAATAGGATCACGTTGAACTGAATTATTTGTTTGTGAAGGTTGGACCTGATCGTGTGAATTATTGGTGGTAGATCTTGTTAAATTATCACTAATCACTGGTATCTTTGTTGTTACAGATGACTCAATAGGAAGCATTGACTCAGGTAATGGTGTAGTATTCGAGGCATGAACTGGTATAGGACTCGATAGCAGGACTAATGACTCATATGTAGGTGTACAACTAGGTACATATGACAAGGGTACTCGTGTTTGGTTCAGTACAATGGCTGGTGCATGACTGAATACTGTTAACGGGAGAACGGGTGACACATACATAGATGACTCATGCACTAGGGATTGGTTTAGTACCGGAGCTGAACTTTGATCTTGGTTAATATGAATAATGCTATGTACAGTAGAGTCTGGTGATGGAATTAGATGACAAGTAGATGACGAGTTAATTATGGATTGATATGGGAATGAATTTTCCACAAAATTGACATGTCTGGATACATATATCCTATTTGACAATGGTTCAAGACAATAGTATGCATGTTGTGACATGGAATATCCTAGGAATATGAAGGTTTAGACCTTGTTTGAAGCTTATTTTACATATATGGTTTTAGCCAGGGAAAACACAAGCATCCAAAGGAATGAAGTTTATTATAATTTGGTGTGCTTTTTAACAATACTTCAAATGGCGAGACCATATTAATGTTTGGTTTAGGCATCCTAATAATAAGGTACACAACGGTGGTGAAAGCAAATGACCATAGTTGAGAGGGTAAATTAGCATGATGCAAAAGAGCACGACCAGTTTCAACAACATGTCAGTGTCGCCTCTCTGTTGTGCCATTTACCTCAGGTGTGTGTGGTGGTGTGGTTAAATGAGAAATACCATTATTGGCAAGAAACGATTTTAATTTGATAAATTCGCCTCCATTATCAGTGAAAAGAGAAACGATCGGCAAATTAAAGTATTTTTCAACAATGGACTTGAATTGAACAAAAATAAAGAAGATATCTGACTCATGTTTCATTGGATACAACCATACATATTTGGAAAAATGATCAACGGTGATTAAATAGTATAAATAACCATCTAAGGATCTAACAGGAGTTGGGCCCCAAACATCAGAGTACAAAAGTTCCAAAGGTTTGTTGCTTGTGAGATGATGATTTGAAAAAGGAAGCTTGTGGCTTTTTTCAGTGACAAGAACTACACTCATATTACGCTGGAAGCTTTATTGGTAGATGATGATTATGCGTCAGATGCTTTATTATTTTGAAAGAAGTATGTCCTAATTTATGATGCCATGTAGATGTAGAGTGGATGCTTAAATGAAATGCTTGTGGTGGACTGGATGGACTAAATGCATGGGATAAATGATAAAGATCTTGTTTACGGGGTCCTTGAAGCAGGGGTTAACCCGAGTTCAAGTCTTTGACAACAAAATGATTTGGAAAAAATTCAACAGAACAACCATTAGATTGACATAACTTGGAAACAAACAAAAGGTTAGATTGAATTTTAGGCACACATAAGACTTGTTTAAGCTGAAGAGGTTTGACAGAAGTATTAATAATAGAGTTACCAGTGTAAGTAATGTTCAAACCTGTTCCATCACCAACAATCACCCGACCTTCTCCAGGATAGGGATTTGTTAACATGAGCTGTTGCAGGTCTTCAACAATATGATGAGATGTTCCAGTGTCTATGATCCAGTTATGATGTTATGTTGCAGCCTGATTCTGTGCAAGGTTCGCTATTGGTTTAGGGCCATTCTGTTTCGGAAATCCCTTAATTCTGTAGCAGGTTTTAGCAGTGTGACCAGCCTTGTCACAAAACTGACAGACCACCTTATTTTCACCATTCCTCAAAATTGGAGAAGAGCTACAGTTGTTGTGGTTTTTGTTGTGATAGTTATTGTTTCTTGTAACTGCATTGGCAGTTGCAATCACATTATCAACTGCAAGTGGATTAACTTAGTGATGAATTGTTTAAAAGTCAATCAGTTTCTCATGAAGTTCAGCAAAGGAAACTGGACTTTCTCTACTTTTAAGTGCAGCGGAAATTTCACGATACTCAACACTCAAACCATTGAGAGTGTGAATAACACAGTCAGTTTCATCAAGAGGATGATCAATGATTGAGAGTTCATCTGAAATTACCTTTATTCCTCGAAGATATGTAGCCATCGATTGGTTTCCTTTTTTGAAATTGGAAATCCGTTGTTTAAGTGCGATGATACATACTCTTGAGCGGCCAACATACATGGTTTTTAGGATCTCCCATGCTTGGTTGGAACTTTTGACAGTTCTTAGGTGAGTGACTACTATTGCAGCCACATATGATATGATTCCATGTAGAATCAGTTGATCTTGTTGAACCCAGTGAGTAAAGGCTGGATTGACATCCGTGGTATTGGTTTCGAGTTGTTTTGATGGACAAAGCTTAGTTCCATAAATATAGCCTAGGAGATCATAGCTTGTTAAAAGAGATACGAACTGGATTCTCCAGGCAGGGTAATTGTCTCCATCGAGAGGGATTCTTCTGCTAGAGATTGTTGCAAAAGAAGTGACACTGGGTTCCTTCTTGATGTTCTCAATTAACTTCATCTTCTTTAGATTCTTTGCATTCAACTGTTTGCCAATGGTAGCTTCTAAAGAGCTGATTTCCTGAGCTTCTATTAGATGATCAATCAGCTTATTCTCTGTTAGAATATCTGATATAAGCCTTCCTAGGGGTATCCAGTCCCTTTTTGTGCGCTCCTCTTCTCTGGTTTCCTTAACACTAGTCCTTAGGTGGTTGAACAGCAGATGAGCCAGATTCACCTTAATCTTCTGGGAGATGAAGTAGATCAGAAATTGCTGATCAATATTGATGTAGTCAGGAGAGCTTGTTGGCTTCCTGTGGTTTATGCATCCCAGAATAATCTTGGCCCATATTCTGTGATAGTCTTTTAGATCCCTTATCTTGCTGGAGAGAAGACCCAGAGTGAAGATTTCTCTAGCAATTAGGGTGACATCAGCACATCTTTCAGCCATGTCTATGCATCTTACACCACCACCATTGTAGCCTATTAATCTTGCAATAAGGTCTTCAGTTATGGCTATCTTCTTCCCCATTATATATGAAGTAACTTGATGGTTGGAAGATGAAGCATGAATCCAAAATTCCTTCACCAGGATTGGGAATGTTGGACCTACCAGACGGTCAAAATACTTGTTCCAGCCTTGAGCCTTTACCTCTTCAGAGAGATTGAACCCGTTCTCTTGAAGACAGTTAAAGTCCACAATCAATTCTGAGAGTACTTCTAGATTTTTGATGGGTGTGAGAAGAGTTCTGAAGGGTTCTTCATATTGTTCTGAGGAATCTGTTCTCTGAGTAATGGAGGTAGGGTTGCTTGAGGAAGCCATGTTCACACAGAAAGTTTTGAGAAGAAATTGAAAGGGTTTTGAGAAAGGATGCAAACTGAAATCAATTAGATTGTAGAGAAAATGAAAGTGAAAGTGAAAGAGTGTAAAGAGTGAAAAATGTGTTTAAATAGATTTTGAAAAAGATTTTGAAAACATAAACGGCAAGAGAGAGAAATAAATTATAATGATTATGAGCATTTAATGACAGCTGATTTTGGGGGATTCAGAAAGATATTGGAACGGTTACCCATGACATGTGTCCCAATGCATCCAATCAGCGCTTTTGACCTTTCAGAAACATGAACGCGTGTTCAGCCTCAGAAAGTAGTTGATGAATGGATGACAACTGTTTGCTTGAGTGAACAGCACATTTCTATCCTTGAAATGAAGCGCTCAGATCTTCATGGATAGATTCTGATACAATCTGTACTTCTAAAGATCTGAAGGAAGATTGATCAGTAGTTCACAGAAAAATAATCAAAGTTCTGAAGGTTAAGATATGGAAGCAAACCAATTTTATTCTGGGCAGAGCTTCATGCTGAGATGTTTCAGAATGAAGTTGAACCTATCTTCAGAAAGAGGTTTTGTAAAGATATCAGCCCATTGATGGTCTGTGTTAATAAATTTTAAATTTAGAATCCCTTTCTGAATATAGTCCCTAATAAAATGATGTTTTATCTCTATATGCTTAGCCCTAGAATGCAAAATAGGATTTTTACTTAGACAAATAGCAGAAGTATTATCACAGAGGATATGGATGTTACTCTCAAATATATTGAAGTCCTCAAGTTGACTTTTCATCCAAAGCATTTGCGTGCTACATCCAGCTGCTGCTATGTATTCAACTTCGGCTATTGATAGAGCTATAGTGGATTGTCTTTTACTGGACAATGAAATCAGATTTTCTCCCAGAAACTGACAGCTTCTAGAAGTGCTTTTACGTTCTACTCTGTCTCCAGCAAAATCAGCATCACAATATCCTACTAAGCTGTAATCACTTGATTTTCTATAAAACACACCCAGATTAGTAGTACCTTTCAGATACTTGAAAATTCGCTTAACTGATGTTAAGTGAGATTCTCTAGGATCTGATTGGAATCTAGCACAAATTCAAACACTGAATAGAATGTCAGGCCTTGAGGCCGTCAGATAGAAAAGAGAACCAATCATACCTCTGTAGACCTTCTGTTCTACTTTGTTACTTACCTCTTCTTTTTCCAGAATGCACGTGGGATGCATTGGAATTCTTGAGGGCTTACATTCTGAGAGATCAAATTTCTTCAGAAGTTCTCTGACATATTTGCTCTGATGAATGTAGGTTCCTTCTGGGGTTTGATTAATTTGAATGCCCAGAAAGAACTTTAGTTCCCCCATCAGGCTCATCTTAAATTCTGCCTGTATACATTTAGCAAACTCTCTTCCCAGAGAGGGTTTAGTGGATCCAAATATAATGTCATCAACATAAATCTGACATACTAAGATGTCATTCTTAACTTTCTTGCTGAACAGGGTTGTGTCCACTTTCCCTCTGGTGAATTCCTTTTCTAACAGGAAGTTACTTAGTCTTTCATACCAAGCTCTGGGAGCTTGTTTCAGACCATAGAGTGACTTCTTTAGTTTGAAAACATATTCTGGATTTTTGGAACTTTCAAAACCAGGGGGTTGGTGCACATAAACCTCTTCTTCTATATAGCCATTTAAGAATGCACTCTTGACATCCATCTGATACAGAGTGATGCCTTTATTGACAACAAATGAAATTAAAAGTCTGATAGATTCTAACCTGGCGATTGGAGCAAAGGTTTCTGTATAGTCTATCCCTTCTTGCTGACTATAACCTTGTGCTACCAGTCGTGCTTTGTTTCTGATGACTTCACCTTGTTCGTTCAGTTTGTTTCTGAACACCCATTTTGTGCCTATGATGTTGAATCCTCTTGGTTTGGGAACCAGATCCCATACGTCGTTTCTTGTGAACTGATTTAGCTCCTCCTGCATTTCCAGAATCCAGTCATTGTGCAGAAGTGCTTCATCAATTGTGTTGGTTCAATCATAGAGACAAGTCCCATGAGGGATTCTTCAGAGTTTCTAAAGGTAGATCTTGTTCTGATTGGATCTTTCTTCCTTCCTAATATTGTTTCTTC